ATATAGAAAATTAATTGTTATTTGAAAGTGCTTGAAAAGTGCGCGAGTATGGAGAGACGATGTACGAGTATGTGTGATTTTGTGACAGAAATAGGAAAATTTAATGGAAAATGTGTTAAAATGCGAAAATGCAGGGAAGGGGGTGAAATAAAATTCAGAAGTCTATTTTTGCTTTTATTTTTGTTAAATTGATCTACTATATTAATTTTTTGTCCATAATCTTTTCCATTCCAAGTGAAATTAATTTAACTTTCAAAGAGTATTGATTGATTAACAATGAGCAATCATTGTATATTTGTAGAAAGTTTAAGAGATTAAAACGACTTTTATTTTGAGAGTTATATTCCTTTATCTTCTTTACGACTGTTAACCCCAAAAATACATGTACTCTTGTGAGTCTGGGAATTTCATGTTGAAAATCTTAATACAATTCTTGCATGAAGTATGCAAAATTTTACTGGGCTTAAATTTTGTCAATCAATTATAAGGTCAGACCAATTTAAATTTTTGCTTTTCGGATTGCAGGTTTTAATGAGAAACTTTACTTGTCAAATACTACGAGGGTTGTCCCAAAAAGTCGTAGACAGAGAAAACAATTTAGTTTCTCTTTGCTAAATGAAATTCATTTTCTTGTCATAGCAAAAAGTAACATTTTGTGATCTAGCTTTCATTTTATGATGGTATCACAATTATTAAGAAAATTATGAAAAAGAGAGAAAGCACGTGAGTGAACATCGGCACACAAAAGCAAGCGTAATTTACGTATCTTATAACGTCGTGATCTCTTTTTCTGCTTCACAAGCATCTGATAACATGCAATATTTTTTTTAAAAGTGAAAGACCACTCTTGATTAAAGGGCTTATTTAAAACCACTACTGTCTGGTTTTGTTGTTTTTTTTAAAGCAGATTCAAATTTCAGCCGAAATTTAATCGAGAGATCGCCATACATTGTGGGCAGCAGGAATACACATTGTTTGACGTCGTTCGTGGCCCAGATTGTTCCCCGTTGTCTGTGTACCGAAACAGTACCCTGTTTCTAACATGCTGTAACAATTTTTGGTTAAGAAGAAAAACTGTCTCTGAATCTCACGCTATTTACAAATAACTTCCCTATTAAAATGTAGTGTATAATGTCACTTATGTACTCTTTTTTCCCATCTCTGATGTATAAGACCATATTCAAATTAATTTATTACTTCTCCGTGCGCCGTTAACGCGTTTGACGACGTCATTTTCATTTAACTCCATTCCAATAACATTTTGAAAGTCCTGACACCAATCCTCCTTTTCTAATTCTATTTAAATAAAATTTTGACATATTATTAGGATTTTTATTCTGGTTATCCTGATTCAAATTTCAGTTGAATATTTTACAAATTACTAAAGAAATTTTTTATTACTTAAAATATTTGTTAGATTTTGTTCATTTCATTAAATTTCTTTTTTCTCAATTTTTAGCCTTTTATATTTTATTTACTTTCAGATATTGGTAGAAATCCGGCAAACTATTTTTTCCTTTTTCTTTTATTTTTTTTCCAGATATTTAAATAACGTTACAGAGATTTTATTAATTTGTTTTATAATTTTAATGCAATTTTATTAAATAGAGAGATCTGGTAATTTAAAATAGCAAAGGCTGATAATTCATTAATCCTTTTGTCAGATGAAATTCTTTTATCTTAATTATAAATTTTCATCGATTTGAACTTTTCTTTTTGTTTGTTTTGATTTTTTTTTTCTTAAATCATTTCATATAATAATTCATCATATTTCAAATTGAAGTATATTTCACAAATGGATATGAATTGATAATGATTTTTTTTTCGGTTGTCTTTCTTTAAATTAATAATAAATAAAAATCTAATTAATGGCTCTTCAACGCTCATTTATGCTATGGAATCAGTGAGGTTTTAGAGTATAGTTTTATCCTACGCATTACATAAGTTGACAGAATATATTTAGATAAGTGTTTACAGTAAGGGTTATGTCATGCTATTTTTTTTTTTTACATGTATTGTATAATATCTCTTTTCCATCTGCATCCTGTTTGTGTTTCGGAAAAGCATTCATATCATACGGTGTATAATAAGGGGTTATGATTGCACACATCACCATGTATATTATTACCTCAGTTACATGTTTATAAAAGGCATCTGTTAATTGTTTTCATCATTTACACAAAATAAGTGGCATTATTCATTCTTTACCAGATGTTTTTTTCTTAGCCTGTTTTTCTCCAAAATCGAAATACACCTCTTTGGCAAGGTTATATAAACAAAGAAACATAGATATGTACACGTGACACGTGGCCTCTCTTAATTCGGGCTTTTTAATGATACAAACCAGAAAATGTGTTCTTGGTAAAAGAAACAAAAAAAAACTTTCTATATTTAATCAGACAAAGATTACAAACAGCACGGTCTTCAATTTGTTTTTGTGACATGTTTTTTCAAATATTCATCAAAAGACTTTATAAGAAAATCTTTCCTTCACAAACAAATGCACCCGATAGACAAATTTCCAATTTTAGTGTTTTTCTTCGATCCTGTGCACTATTATTATATTTTATTTGTTCGTCTTTTTGCTTGTCCTATCGACTGACAAACATTTCCTGCTATATAATTTCTATTTCCCGTTACAGAGTCCCACTACCAATTAAATGTTCTCTCTAAATCAAATGTGAAAGTCATGTGACTACAGTGAATATCAAAGTATTATTTAAACAAATATTTCAATTTCAATGTTTTCATTGACTTACAATTAAATTTTTTAAGATGTACTATAAGATTAGATTTGATCGATACACGTAAAAAAATTTGGTATCTTTCTAATGGCCTCTTTCGTTAGCCAGCTACTTATACGTGTATAGTACAACCTATGCATGCATAAGACCCGTTTCCCTGCTCACCACGGGGAGATAAAATAGGACTTTTACCAGGATGGGTTCTTTATTCTTATTATTAATTATCAATTTTAGTTCATAAAAAACACCCCCCAAAAATTCAATCTCATACCAAAAATTCGTCGAGGTCTGTTTTGCAGCTGCTTTTGCAACTCTTTCCAACGCATCTCCACAATTTTGAGTTTTTGAAAGTCCTATTTTTTATAAATTATAACCATCGATAAATAAGCAGCCATCCCTCGATTTGGGATGGTCGTTAACAAGGTAAGATACATCACTTAATTTTCGCAACACCTTATTTTCGCGAGATAGTCATTGACTCTTTATAAGCGAGACAAAATTTTCACGAATTATGGTCATTGCTCTATATAATCCAAGGGATAACTATTAAATGCGAGAATGAAATTTTCGCGAGCATATATATATAATAAAGAGAAAATATCATAAATCAGGACTACAAAAATGTAGTTTTAAAAGGAAGATACTTCACAAAATTTCTTCTTAAATCGAGAGCGTTCAGGATTATTATCTAATCAGAAGCTAATTTAAAATTATGTTTGAATCTGGAAGAAAACAGATAATAAGGCTCTGTGATAGTTAAATTTAACTTATCAAAGTGAGTTACTTTTTCGAAAAAAAAACCCTTAATAACTGTAAAAACATAAACTAGGAAATCAGCTTTCAGAACATAAACGAATAAATCAAGCATTATGATTAACAAGGATTTATTTATTTGAATTGCTCTATGATTTATAATCATTGAACAAAGCAACATATGTATCATTTTCTCTTTATTTAGTTATTTATCATTAAAATGAATGGCATTTTTATGGAGTGTTCTTTCTCCGCCTGTTGTTTTTCGAAATCGAGACCAGTCTCCTTGACAAGGTTATAGAAACAAAGAAACCTAGATATGTGCACGTGACATACGGTATATCTTAACTACGGTCCCAAAATAATGCACAGCACAAAATGTTTTTCGTGTATCAGATATTTAACAAATATTACATATCTATTGAATTTTGCAGATTTCAAGAAATAAATTTAAGTCAAATTACAAATACCTATTTATTCGATTTTAAATCGGAAAAAAGAAGTAATTACAGACATAATGATCTTAAATGTTTTTGTGGACTTTCAGGTACATTATTTGTATCAAAGTACATTTTGCGGTTTGATTTTTTCTTAAGGCTTGTTAAAGTCTTTTCCAAGTATTTTTTGGCTTGTCCTCTCTGTTCACAAACGGTACCGATCTATATATTATATGCAATACGCATTCCATTCTTTATAATAACCCATCGCCCATTCGCTTCTTTGAAACAAGAAAGTACTATTTGTGTCTTAAGTACATATCAAAAGGTACTGTAATATAGCTTTGCTTAGCCAAACTGAAGAATTCATTATTTAATGATACCGGTATATTTTGTTTGTTCGAAATTCAATGTTATCATGCGCCTGGATCAAGAGATTGAGAGCGTATAATATTTTTATCAGAACGAAACTTAGAATTCACCTCTTTTCTTCAATGATACATGTATTCAATCGACAAGTTTTGCAAGTTGATCGTTTTACTTTGTTCATTTCAAGCATTATTATTTTTGTTTGTTCATTTTCTGGCTTGTCCTATCGCTTTACGTTGCATTGTTATATTTTAAATGCAATACGTATATCAGATATCTCCAACCAAATGTTCTCTCTAAACCAGTTGTATAAGTCATTTGATTGTAGTGAATGCATGTATCAAAGGCTTATGAAAATAAATGTTTAAATTTCAATGTTTCATTGATTAACAATACGTTTTCAGCTATAGAATTGATATTATTGAAAAACTTTAATCACTTTGGTATCTTTCTGAAGAGATTTATTTAAAACTATAATGTACATGTATATTTATTTATTATTCAATTACAATTACAAATATACAAATAATATACAAATCCAAACCCAGGCTTTAAAATTATACAGAATTGTTTTTCTTTAAAAAGCTATTTTTATGCGGTCTTTTTAAATAATGTATTGAATTTGTTTATTGCTGTAGCAAAAGCAACTGTATTTTTAAAAACAGTCATTGTTTAATGCAAACGTATTTTTGTTTAACTGCTTGAACTTGAGAAAAATAATGTTATTTGTTTAAAATACCTAGAATAAGTGGAGGGACATGTCCGCCTCCTATCTGATCCATGCTTGGATAACTTATTAGATGTTTCGATTATTTCATAATCGTAGAGTTTTCTGCTTAACGTTTAAGTAACGTTTGAAGGGTAATGGTAATAAATCATTCCATTGGTTAAATTTTATACTTTCCTGTTCAGACTTGTATACATAAAAATGAGGCTAAATTCCAGAAACGCTATATTCCAGAAACGCTTTAAATTAGTTAAGACAACAACAAAGTTTAAACATGGCAATGGTGCGGGCAGCGTTCATCATGTGTGGCGTCTTATGTATAAGTGGTCAGTACATTTATCCGAAAGAAAAGAATCGATGTGCCAGGAATGGAGAGGCAATGATGCAGATTCGAGAACTTTTGATCCAACAAGGGAGGGTTCAAGAATCAGTAGATTCCCTCGGAAAGATGGTGAAGGGACTCGAGCAAGATGTAACCAAGACCTATGAAGATTTTAAAATCGTCAAAGAAGGTATATATCTCTCTCTCAGATTTGGTTTGCTTATTGATTGATATGATTAAAACAATACCAACTACGTATTTCGTTTAAATTCAGGCTTAAAACTAAAACATGTGGATTGTCAGGATCTCTTCATGTATATAACGGGATATAAACAGTCTGGGGTATATACTATTTATCCTTTTGATAACGAGACCAGATTCAAAGTGTTCTGTGACATGGAAACAGAGGGCGGAGGGTGGACAGTAAGATCTTTCATATCTCTTTCTCTCTCTCTCTCTTTCTCTCTCTCTCCCCCCTCTCTCTCAAATTCAGGAATTACTTTTAAATCTATAGTACTTTGATTGCTAAATGTCTTTAAATTTCTTTTTGTACCTTTTTGCTAAATAACTGGCGTTGAATTAGCATGAAAATGGTATTTAATGTAATTAAAACTAGCTGAAGTATATTCAAGTTCACACGTTGAAGGAATAGGTTCCTAGAGATAATAATATCCAACACATGCATATGCTTTCCAAAATATATCTAAGAAAAGCATAATGAACAGAAGAATCTGTATATAAAACTAAGCTTACAAAATTCATCAGAAAATAGACTTATTAAATTTCAAGGCCTTTTTATTTCTGTTTATATTAGTTAAAAAAGTACAAAATGGGTATTCGTTTTTAAGCCACAGTCTCCATTGTGGAGTTATACATTCAAGAAAGTTAAATGTTTTGAAATAAGATAAGAGTATAAATTATACAGGATGTAAATATGATTATTAATCTATTATATATTTTAGGCAATTCAGAGACGATTAAGCGGATCTATTGGTTTCAACAGAACGTGGGCAGAATACAAAAAAGGTTTTGGGAATGTATTTGACTCTTACTGGATTGGTATGTTTTTGTTACGATATTATTTTATTTTATTAGTAATTTTCTTTTAAATTTTTAAGTTTTATCATTTCAAAAAAAAAAAAATCCTTTTTCTGCTATAAATAACCATATATATCTTTTATAATTTGATACAAAATCAAGTGGATAGCTGACATGCATGATATCTCTGCAGACATATCTAAGGCTTAGTGTATTTGGTAGAATTAGACCAAGGTGACCTTGAAATGAAAATATATTTACTTCATTATGTTTATTTCTGCTAAATAAACTAGAACAATAATATATTGAAGGAAATGACATGATTCACCAGCTAACAAAGGGAAAAAACTCCTCCCTCTACATCTCCATCACATTACGAAATGGAACAACTTTGTATGAACATTATCAAGAGTTTTCGGTTTCTAATGAATCGGACAATTACAGGTTGTTTCTTGGGGGACCAGCTACCGGGACACTGGGTAGGTAGTGGGTTTAATATGTGACATCAATAAACAAAAAGAGAGAGAGAGAGAGAGGGAGGTTTCTAATTTATTTCAGAAATAAATAATAAAACCAACACACGTAATTACTACACAGGAATGGAAAGCATGTTATTGACGTCAATTTAAATAGGTCTTGTTAAATTAATAGGTAAAGATCATTTAATCATATGGGATCATTAAAACAGTTGTGTTAATACATGTGTTTGATTAAAATTATTAATATAAATCATTTTTAACCTTAACAATAAGATTTATACTTGTAAATACCAGTATAAGGGTGTACAAAATAAATAATAAGAAATATACTATTTGATTTTCTTTAACTTTTACTGTTATAAATTTTTATTATCTTATTTGATATACATGTACACCGTATATGATAGTGTAATATTTGATAAATATCAACAAAATTTTATGAATAGGACTGATTTGATATGATACAGGTGTCCATGTAATACTATCTTTGATTACCGCAGGTGACCGTATGCTTGACACGGGGGATTTTTCGGCGGATCTGTCAGGGATGGCATTCTCTACCCTGGACAGAGACCACGACAGGTTTTATGATAACTGTGCTGTTTGTTGTGGAGGGGGAGGAGGCTGGTGGTATAACGGGTGTTACTACGCCAACCTCAACGGTAAATGGTCCCCGGAACACTGGCACGCACCCTGGGATCCGCCACTTAAGTATGGTAGTGATATAACGGAGACTCTCATGATGATAAAGCCTCACTGATTACGTGAATGATGTGTTAATGATGCGTCACTTGTTGTTAATATTGTTCACTTCAGACGTTTGATCAAAGTTACGACATTCAGTCAGTTATCATTATTTAATGTTCATGAAGTTTTACATATTTCATTTATACATATACATACTAATTCAAATCTATATATGATACATAAATGAGTTATTAATTTAATCCTAGTTGTGTTATTGATGTTAAAATACATATCTCTGTCGTTATTTGTCTTATATAACAACGTTATAAACTTATTGATATCGTCCTATTATGTTTTAAAAATTGCTTTTATATTAATATGTAATAAATTTCTTGATAAAGTCCAAGTATGTTCTGAAAATATTGTTATGAACTTATCCAATACGGCGACTCCGTTAAATTTATCTTTCTGTATAATAAAGTTTTCGTTTTAATCTTACTATATTTATTATTATCATTAATCTTACGATATTATGAAGTAAATAAAAAAACAATGAAACATATGCTTATTTCTGATACACTAAATGGATTTTAAATGAATGCCCTCGTGAAAATATACCAGATAATCCTAGAAAAGGATTTTCTTATAGTAGTAAAGCTCAACTTGTTGTATTTAAGGATTTAATTCATATTTTTGGAGTCTTCGGTCCTTTAACAGACCTGGTTGTGCCAACAAATTGAATACCACGCATTGGGTGGTTTGATAATTTGTCTGCAAAGCACGGTGTGTTATAGGACGGAAGACATCCAAAAGTATGAATTCAGTGCATATATTTTGTTTTCTTATTTTCCTTCTTCATAATTGCTTATTTCGTAAATGTTAAATTTGAATTTAGCGCTCTTCATAATTGCCGTGGTTAAAAGATGTAACAGCCTTTTTCGACGTCAAATGACGTAAAATGGCGTTGCATAGTTGAATAAGGAAAACATATCTTGCGAGGAAAAAAGTGTCAAACTAGTTTTAAACGCACTTGACATTAATTTTTATGTTAATTTCTCAGGGTTATAGTTTTTCATTAAATTGAAATAAAACAGTTTAAACTGTTGTGTTCCTAGGGTATTGAAAATGCATATAGTTCCTACTGTGTATTCAAGCGCACGCTGACAAGGTTTTGCTTGTGTTATAAAAGTTTCTAATGGATTTCATAAGAAAAATTACACTGAATGATAATATATACCGGGTTATTTAGATTTTTTTTTTGAAAATACATTTATTTACACTCCATGCACATGTTTTCCGCATATGAGGTGTGCTGAAACTTTGGCATTCAAACGCAATAACAAGGAGCTAAAGGTCAAAATAATAAAGTATTATATATCACAAACGGAAAAAGCTGAGCAATTTCATTTACAGAGAAAATCAAATTCGCGCTCATATTGAGCAATCTGATCTTAGTAACTGTTTAAGTGGCTTTTCAAGTATAATTTCTACTATGTACCCGACACTCTTATTTTTGCGATATCTAGAATAGTACAGAGAACAGAGCCACCATATGCAAAACGCTTGATGACCCTTTTTCATTTTGTGAACAATACCACTACTTACATTAATTTTGTAGACAGGATATAGGGGATAAAGATATAAGCATTTAATTATTTTTATGACAAATATAATCTCATAACTGCGTCGGACCCTGTGTGCAAAGAAATTCAGTATTGCGCGTTAAAACTTTTGCATTTATGAGACTACATCGTTCAAAAAAGTAAATTTTAATTCTTAAGTCTTAATCCTCTTAAAACTATTTAAGACTCAACCCCCAACTCCCAACCCCCCCCCCAGCCCTAAAAGGGAAATTTCATTTATTAAAGTGCCTAGATATTTTGAAACCTAAATACCAGCTGGGACCATGTTTTGAAGCAAAAAAGAAACAATATGCGTTTGTGAAAGATTGATATTCCCGTACGGTAGCTTTTAAAAAAGATTACAGTTTCTCAAATGTAAGTCAACCTCAAGGGGGGATGAAAGATCTTGTTACCCAAAACAGGGACTTGACCCAGTAAATACTCCTGTAAAATATGAGAGCCCAAGCACCAACTACTTAAAGTTATTAACAAGATTAAACTTTTTAAAAATGGATAAAACTACAATGCCAAGGTCAAAGGCTCAAAATAATGGTACCAAGGAATAGGTCTTGTGATAATAAATATACATGTGAGATATTGAAGCTTTAGAATCAAGTGCTAAATTTTTAGGCCAATGTTATATTTTTTCACAGGTTGATTAACCAATATATAAGGCCAAGATCAAGGTTTAAAAGACAAGGTTGTTGCTATTTTAACGAAGATCTTGTTACAAGTTCAAAAGTTATGGCCAAAGTTTTATTCAAAGTGAGTAAAATAATATAGTGCAAAGGTCAAAAGGTCAAATATATTATTAACCCAAATTAATGTCTTGTATACTGGAATATACATGCGTACAGGTATGGAAACCCTAGCCACAACTGTTAAAAATATAAATAAAAAAAATAGCTCAAACAAATCAAAAGTAAAGCCAAGGTTAAAGTTTTTGCGGACAAACATACAAACGGACAAACAGATGGATGGACAGGGCAAAAACTACTCGTACATACTCCGGAATCGTTGATGACGGGGCATAAAAATGACAATATTTAACTAAAGAAAAAAAATGAATATTTGTCTCTTTTTATACCGCTTGTGTTAATAAAGGTAAATAATATTTCCCTTCAATTCTTTATTCTAAACCTTGATCCTTATGCATGCTCCCCTTTATTAATGCGATGACACCTTGATACACACTGTGTCAGGATGTGAAGACACCTTGATACACACTGTGTCAAGGTGTGAAGACACCTATATACACACTGTGTCAGGATGTGAAAACACCTTGATAAACACTGTGTCAGGATGTGAAGACACCTTGATACGCACTGTGTCAGGATGTGAAGACACCTAAATACACAATGTGAGATGATGTGAAGACTTCTTAATACACACTGTGTCAGGATGTGAAGACACCTAAATACACACTTTGTCAGGATGTGAAGACACCTTGATACACACTGTGTCAGGATGTGAAGACACCTTGATACACACTGTGTCAGGATGTGAAGACACCTTGATACACACTGTGTGATGATGTGAAGACACCTTTATACACACTGTGTGATGATGTGAAGACACCTGAATACACACTGTGTCAGGATGTGAAGACACCTTAATACACACTGTGTCAGGATGTGAAGACACCTAAATACACACTGTGTCAGGATGTGAAGACACCTTAATACACACTGTGTAAGGATGTGAAGACACCTTAATACACACTGTGTCAGGATGTGAAGACACCTAAATACACACTGTGTCAGGATGTGAAGACACCTAAATATACAGTGTGTCAGGATGTGACGACACCTAAATACACACTGTGTCAGGATGTGAAGACACCTTGATACACACTATGTGATGATGTGAAGACACCTTGATACACACTGTGTCAGGATGTGAAGACACCTAAATACAACTGTGTCAGGATGTGAAGACACCTTGATACACACTGTGTGATGATGTGAAGACACCTAAATACACACTGTGTGATGATGTGAAGACACCTTGATACACACTGTGTGATGATGTGAAGACACCTAAATACACACTGTGTCAGGATGTGAAGACACCTTAATACACACTGTGTCAGGATGTGAAGACACCTTGATACACACTGTGTCAGGATGTGAAGACACCTTGATACACACTGTGTCAGGATGTGAAGACACCTTGATACACACTGTGTAAGGATGTGAAGACACCTTGATACACACTGTGTAAGGATGTGAAGACACCTTGATACACACGGTGTCAGGATGTGAAGACACCTTGATACACACGTTGTCAGGATGATATCAAGTCTCATCTTTTTTGTTTATGTGATTCTCTAGAAAGAAGTTATTTCCATTTTTTTCATATTTGTTAGTTTATTGATTATCTCCCCTTTGTGTAATAAATATGATTTCCAGGTAATCGCTACAGGAGTGGGTTTACTCTCAAAACAAGCTTCTAAAGAATCACTGGCTTAGTACTGGCAAACGTAAGCAGCAAGCTGAATGTCCCACAGAGCGGAAATGAAAGTTTCGACATCTCTCTCTCTCTCCTCTTTTCCTTTTCTTCAGAGAGAGAGAGAGGGAGAAAGAGAGAGAGAGAGAATTAAATCGCTCGAGAGAGAGAGAGAGAGAGAGGTTTCTAATTTTTTTTCAGAAATAAATAATAAAGCCAACAAACGCAATACTACAATGAATGGAAAGCATGTTATTGACATCATTTCAAATAGATCTTGTTCAATTAAAAGGTAGAGGTCATTTAATGATATGGGATCATTAAAACAGTTGATTTAATAAACGTGTTTGTTTTAGATAATTAATATAAATCATTTTCAATGTTATCAAGAAGATTAATACTAGTATTAGGGTTAATAATATAAAATAATATATACTATGGGATTTTCTTTAAGAGAGGAAACAATTATTTAAGGAATGAAAAGTGCGTTTGATTTTTAAAATACTCTGCTCCTTTTAACTCTGGAAAACGTAATACAAGCGACAAGGCTATAGAACTATATCTTGCAGCAGGGAGGGGAGGGGCCTGGTGGGGGGGGGGGTTGGTGGTTGGCGTCTTATTTTGTTAAGATACCGGGTATATATAAGATAGACAGAAAATGGACATTTGAAGTTGGGACTTGCTGGGCCGGACTGTTATTGATTTAGAGAAGAGGTTGTACGCAAAAGCTTTGTAGTAATTATTTACAAAAAGACGCCGCTGATGATGATAGAAATATGAAACTTACAATGTATCACTTGACAAAATATCATGCATTGAAAATGACATTCTTAACCGCCTATAATTCTTCAGTTAAAGCGAGTGAGTTTTAGGGGTTGAGATTGTCCAATATCAATATATATCATATATCAATATATGACATTATGCAGTGCAACGCTTAATGATTTTGCTTTCATAAAGCGGGTTTTCATCATTAGCAGCTTTTAAAAAGCATAGTCATTTCTCTAATGAGGAAAGGTACAATCTTTTGTATGAATAAAAAGGATAATAAAATAAAAGACACTGCTTTCCTTATAAATTACGACATTTTTAAAAATGAAATAATATTATTATATCAACTGTTTGAATACCTTTAATCAAAGATATATAAAGATTAACTTGGAATCATTTTTAATATTGACAATAAGATTAATGGTTGTGAATTAAAAGGTATACAATATAAACTGATTTTATGCCACATTATGTTCGTTTA